AGACAGGCCTTCATCGATCTGAAATCAGTGTGGAGATCGACTGCCCTGCACGCAGTTTTAAGCGTGAACAAGATTCGGATTTTCAACACTAATTCAGACAAGTCAGTGCTTCTATGTGGTTGAGAGACTTGTTGCGTTACGAAAAGCATTTCCAACAAACTACAGACATTCATCAACAGCTGCCGCTTACGCTCACTCGATACTGAATATCGATGAGATGGCCAGAATAACACGAATAAGCAACAAGGAACTCTGGCTGGCTGGCTGGCTGCAACGAACTAACCAAAAACCTCTTGCCAAACAAATACGCAGGAGAAAGTGGAGATGGATGGGATTCGATGTACACTGGGAAGACCGTTTGGGCACATCACGAGCCAGGTCGACATCTCTAGTGGAACCGGAATGGGAAACGACGAGTTGGGTGTCCCAGCTGAGAGTAACATGGAGGAGATGGTGTGAGGAAGAAATGAAAGCTTATGGGTAGTCGTGGAGCCAGGTTGGGGAGACTTGAGAGAGCAGAGTGGAATGGAGACGTGCTACTGAAGCCCTATGTTCCACTAGGAACCCAAGGGACAAATAATTATCAGAAACATAGGAAGATTAAACGGCATATTAAAGGTTTACACTCCAGGTCAAACGTGTACCAGAAGGTGAGATTACTTCATATCTGGGTATAAAATAAAACTCATCATAGTGTTTCGTTTGTTTATCTCATAGTTATGTGTCGTTAGGAAGTAGTGAGGCACCATAGTTATGTAAGACTATGATTTATGGACCGCAGATACTGAATTTTTGCAGCGAAATGAACAATAGTTAATTCACCTGCTTGCAATAGATTCTGAGTCGTTCTGTTGCACTATTTCAAGCTTCCGCCTAATACGAAAATCAAAAAGAGATGAAAGAAGCAACTAGAAAACCAGACAGAATGACACAAATGATGGCCTGGGCACTAACATCATCTTGAATGTCAACATAGAACCATAAGTTACTCCCTAACGGTCGCAGTTGCAACACCTGATATCAGCACATCAAGTAACAAAGTAATGAGATGAAAGATGAAGAAAGAAAAAGTAAGTCAGCCAAAAGCAGTATAAAGTGGCAGAACAGAGGAAGGAGGGATGAGAGAATTTTGAATTCGCTATAGTGTTTGAGATGAAGATCATGTATGGATACATCTGCATCATAGACTTTGATTCTGAGTCATATTACCTAGTCTTCAATAGCTGATTTTTTTGGAATGTGGACTCCAACCAGCTAGTCTTCATCTCCTTACATGGCTCAGACCAACAGCCAAAGACTTTATCCGCTAACTCCATATTTAGTCTCACTATCCGAGCCTTTTTCCAGACAAACATTTCTCAGCACGTGTGACGAACATCTGTCACACATGTCCTAGCCATCTCATTCAGTCAAGTGCCATAATCTCATCGATTAGTGTTTCTCGTTATCCTAAAATGCTACATCTAACTTCTACACTACTAATATATTGATACCACGACAAACGGACTATGCTACGAAGGCAACGGTAGTCGAGCACTTGAAGTCTTCTAATATCCTATACCTTTATGCCACTCAAGATGTTCAGAAAGAAAACAGCATCTTCCCACAACAAAACTGTGTCATCTGCGTGTTCTAGATCTACCAAAAATTCTCCAGTGGTTAGATCAAACCCTATGAAGTCACATGATGACATGGAGGCCAGCATAAGTAAGTCAATGACGAAATTAAACAGGAATGGAGAGAGTAGGTATCCTTACCGGACATCACGCCCATGTGTGTTCGAGTACAGAAGCTTCAACAGAGTGATGTACTTATTTGGTGCCCCTTTCAATGAAAAACATTACTACAAGGCTTCTCAATCGACGAAGTTGGATCCCGCCTTCAGGTTGGGAAATATAGCTAGTGTTGGGCGTCGATAAGTGTGCCTGTATCCCATAACCTGGTGGGGAGTGAATACCTGGTCGATACATCCACAACCAGGTTTGAATCCTGCCTGGTTTCCTACGGTTTGCTGTTCCTAAGCTCCAATCAGACGCTTAGTGATAACAGAACCTAGAATCTTTGACATCATGTTCGTCAGGCTGATTGCCATGGGGGTATGACTAGAAAAAGTTTCGTCTTTCTTGAAGACTGCGACAATCGGTGAGTGAGACCAATCATAGGGAATCATATTTGACTTCCATACACTAGTTAACACTTCGGTTAACGGACTAGAACACACTGAACACCGTTCTTTAATAATTCTGGAACTAGTCCTTCTGGCCCTGCTGATTTCCTTGTATCAGGTTACTTACAGTCTCATTGACTTCTGGGACCGTTAGGTGTCCTATCTTGATGTTCTTTTCAGGCTCTGACTGGATAGCGGCAAATGGAATATCAGCTGGAGGTTAGCTGAGTTGTCTCTCAAAGTGTTCCGTTCATCGATCTAGCCATCTCCTTATCAGCGAATCACAGGTCCATCTTTCTTCGCCGGAGTCTCACTAATCACTGACCTTTTCACTCCAGTTTCCTAAATAAGTCTAAATAACTTTCTACTGTTACCTACAGCCGCTGCCTTTTCCGTTTCTTTAATCTTGCGTATCCACCACTGTACGCATTCACTGCGTAGATTTTCGTAAATCTACGTTTGAGTTGCATTCGCTCCTTATTGCACTTCGAACCTGCAGTGATGCATCCGCATGTATCCAGCGACTCAGAAGAAGCTTGTGATATCTTCTTGCTTTTTAAACTACTCTCTGAAGGTCGAATATGGTCTCCATTGCTGTTCTCAAAGCAGACTGAAGATGACATCGTGCTTCCTCTAGGATGAGTGATGCTGTTTTACACTGAAAAGTGACGAGCAAGTCCCCCGCTGAAAGCGGTTCGAGTGCTCGCATTATCGAAATTCACTCGCTTTGTCTACTTTGATATCACTTCTTTTTTACCCACTTGTTTTTTTGTACTAATGGGATTTGTGACAACTGGGGCAGATCCACCTGTGTGCGAGGTTCCACGTCGATTTCGTCGGTCAGTCAGTCGAATGCACTTACAGTGGTCTTGGTGCTGAAGGTTTTCTGTGTCTTTTGAGATATACACGGGCTTGGACTAATGGGTGGTCTTCATCAGAATACGTGCTCAAAAACAGCCATAGTTGTTTACCAACTCCCTCCATCAATAACTGATATCAATATGTCTGCACCTACAATTAACTTGAGATTGATGGATCCCAGACTACACAGTCTCTCTCTTTTTGTCTGAAGTTTGTGCTAGATAGAACTAGGTGGTTCTCTGAGTACATTTGGAGCAGCCAATCATCGTTATCTGTTCGTTCGGAGGGATTCAGAAAGTGTCATGCACCTATGTGCCTTTCTGCCTGACTTGCCGTTCCCACTTGTGCATTGAAGTCACCTGAGTCAGCTACCACATCTGAGCGCTTGGCTTTCAGTAGGAAGCTATACAGTTTACTATAGAGCTCATCCTTCACTTCATTCAGTGGGTGCATAAGTGGAGACTCTGAAAAGACAATGGTGAGTATCACTTTACCTTTCTGTTCTCACTGTGTCGTTCATTCGAACAACGTATAGATGACTGTCGACTGGAATCCGGTCAAACAGTATACTTTCTGTCTTAGCAGTTAATTCTATACCTACTGGCGAGAACTAGCCATCGAACCTACAGAAACTCGAAGGCCGGATTTCGTGAATTTACTATATTGGATGGGAGCGGTTAAGTGAGTAAACGCACTTGGGTGTTATATGGATGTCTCAGTAACACAGTACACGTCCTTGGCAAGGTAATCTAGTGAATAATACTTTTTCACCGTGTGATACATCGAATTGATCAACTGAGATGTTAGTGATGGCAGAAACCTAAGTCATACGGTTTTAAGTACTTATCATGAAGATTATGTGTCTGTGGTATTGGAATTTACTCTGCATCTCTTCAGATTTGTGTTTACAATCCTTTTCCTTTTTGTCAGCAGCTTTCTCAGTGAACATGATGCTTTGAGGGCAGTTATGATAGGGAAGAATAGGAATGTTTAGTCCTCGGAAACTGATTCAGCTTAATCCAACTCCCCTTTGGATGTCACTAACGTCAAACCTTATTTGAATATTTACTCCTTGTTAATAACTTTCGCATAATCACCAAAGTTAAATAATTTTTTATGAACTTTAACGTTGTGTGGCTACTACTGTCTCTATCATTCTTTAAAATTCTAAGACTTGAAGTCCATGATATTTTTCGGTTCAGCAATAAAAGTTATTGTACTCATTCATTTGATTCAGCATGGCACCCCATATGGTAGTATAAATTGTTACTGATTTAAACAACCCTTTTGAACATGAAATTAAGGTTCACTGTTCTTCATCAGCATTCACTTTAAAATAAAACACTGTGTGTGGAAACAGAACAGCCAAAAGATAACACGTCAAATATGGGACAACACAAATTTGTACTTCGGGTGGAAAGAGAATGACAACTGTTTGTTGTTCTCTTAAACTTCGTCTTTGGTCATAGGCATCTTATCAAACCACTTACTAACCTAATCAGTAATAAAAATCTCTCAATATAAGACAGACGAAAAGATAGGTAGGCAGACACAAATCAACATATCATGTTGCCAAACTCCATAACAGATAAAAAGGAGAGGTGAACAGGAAAAAATGACAATGAAGTGAATAGTGTATGAGAAGATAAGAGATTAGTAAATGAAAATCAAATAAAAGTTCAAAATTTTGAATATGTTGATAAGCGGAGATATCTGAGCTATAGTGACCAATTTAACACACATCAATAAGAATCTCCAACCACCGATTTACATCATCCTCAAAAATCACCTTGGTGGCCATCTCCCTACACTGTGTTGACTGGGTCAAAAACTCCACGGATTGGTAGCATTTCTTAATTTAATAAAGTCCTTGATGAAAAACCTCCAAACCTAATGACAAAGTGTTTAATTAAATACCAAAGCTAGAAGAACGTAGATATACCACTTATCATAGTATATCCAAACATCTTACTTTGTTTCGCAGTTGTAATCGTTTCACCTGTGCTAAACAACAATGCTTCAGACTATGCGGACTTGATTCCAGTGGTGATGAATCATCTGAATCTGATTGCCTAGAAGTAACACGGAAACAAGAAATAGAACGACATCTTTTATTCCCTAATTTCTTATTTTTGACCCTGTTATTTACATTTTCTTCTGGTGAAGAATTCCTGTGCGTATTTTGAACTGAATTGTGATATTGCAAAATTTCAGCTTCATTACTGACAGATAAAAATCGTTCACGCTTATTAGACTGAATATTGTGTTTAGCCGCTTCGGATGCTTCAGCTTCTAAAGTTTGAAAACGAAGTTCTAAATCGTCTTCGGATATTTTACCCATTAAACGTTCAGATAGTGCATCAATCATTGCTGCAACATATTTAACATACGGGTATTTTGCATAGCCATTTGCTGATGAACGAGTATAATGATCTGTTTCTTCTGTTTTATTTTCAAGTTTAGGATTTTCGGTGGGAGAGTTTTCTGAATCCTTTGCAGCCTCATTGGGCTAAAATTAAAAAATGCAAACAGTATGTATTCAGAATACAGTTATTCACCTTCATTTTCCAGTATAAAACGATAATTAATAAAACAATATTCTAATAAGTTTCACATCCATACTGTAATTTGAAAAACTAAAACATACTATTTTCTGAGGATTCGTTAAACAAGATATTTCAGTACAGTGATTAACTCGACGAAGTTAAGATTTATCATAGTAGTGCATTGCTCCTATCCACTGCATTTTGAAGTAGAAGGAAGAAAGCAAGAGGATTTTTAAAAATGGCACAGCATTCACGACTAAGACTGTTTCACACTTTTGGAGAAAATGTTTAAATCTTCGTTTATATCCTTAATTGTCTGTTTTTCAAAGGAGGCGTTTACACACTTACCGGCTTAGGCGATGAATAATAGACGGATATCCTGGTGAGTTCACCTAAGGCAACACCACGTACTCCAGTAGACGGTAACTAACATGACTATGAACAATGAATTGTGCTCAAAACACTATCCATAAACTACTACTGTTTTGTTGTATGATAAATATAATAGAAGAACTGAGATGAGTGAACGTAGTTTGTGCAAGCTGATGCTCTTTACCAATCTCTCTACCCAAAAGTGCTGATTTGAAAATTTCACAAAAAGTGATCCAGGGTATGGAGACAATAGCCGTCAAATGTATGAAACATTGTCAGTTCTTCTGCTTATAGTAACTGTAGTGCACATTTCAACTCAAATTAGAAACCCTATTCCTCGTCTGGAACGTATAAGCTGGACGACTTTCTGTACAGTTGGGTTTTCAACATTAAGGCCCATCTCTGAGACAGAAGTAAAACTTTTGAATATACCGAATTGTTAAACTAATTGTGTAGGATTTTCTTAAAGGGTTTCCCAGGTAGACAGCTATAGTATATAATACAGAAAACATAAATTAGTGGGGGAGGAATTTGTCGAAATAAGGCTTTCTTTGTTTCTGTTTGAAAATATGTCTCAACATTCCTCACAAACATCACATAATGGAATGCAAGACCAGAATATAACAGTTGCTCTGCTTGCTTAGTTGATTTTTGAAATTTGTCATCCTTAATCAGCATTTAAAGCTCAGTGTTGATAAATAGTTCGTTCGTAAATTTGTTCGTAAATTCAGTTTACCATCAAATAAATTAGTTGCAATACTGAAACTAGTATCTGTGAAATTCGATTATGATAAAAGAAAAAAACATGGAGAAGTTGGAAGGTGGAATGTAAAAAACATTACTCTGAATAAAATGAAAATCCAATAGTATCAAAGTTGAAATCAGATACTGCATACCTTTAAATAACAGAAACAAAAAATCACTTGAGTTGTAGGTCTTTGTTATCAAACCATCAGTAAAATTAATATTCAGTCAAAACAACAAGATTGAACGAGCAGCATACTTTGAAGGTATATAGTATCTAAATGCACAATGAAGTTTAATGACAAAATTGCAATTGTCACGGATCGAAATATCTTCAGCACTTTAGGTGTGTTATGTAAGCTAACTTCACTCGACTGTTTCCCAACTTTTTGCAGCCAATATAGATTATATGAGGTGATTACCGGAAGAAAAATGAAAACCTGAGTGGTAGCAGAATTTAAAACAGTCATAACCCAGATCTTCATCTCACCTTCAGTCATCACTATATCTTAAAATACCAGTCTGCCAAACAAAGCCTATCTCATCATTGTATAAGTAAGGTATATATAGCCTTTCTCAGTTAGTCTTACAAACAAAGATTGTACATAAATGTTTATCAAGACTAATTGTATTCGGTACTTTCAGTGTAATATCTTTCGGGGATATTAGATGATGCCATCTTAATTACCGGTATTTTTCCGATATCGGACTGACTTGCGTAAGGTTGTAGTTTTTGATTACTAAAGTTTGTCAACTTGTTCCACTTCCTTTTCAAAGTAAACTGTTTGGTCACAAACAAACTGAGAAATTGAGTTTGGGAATTTTCTTCAGCTGCTTCCAATTAATTAAAGTTGTACAATGTTCCTGATGTCAAAAATAAAAGAGTGGAATATAAGAGACCAGCTGATGGGCACAACCTAGAGTCTTCAGATTTTCACTACTGCTTTCGATAATATGTTAGACAAATTATAGTTGAAAGCGCCTAGCAAATGTGAAGTTAGAGGAAAGTAAGCGAGTGAGTAAGTAAGAAAAAAAAGCTTTTTAGCAGACAGGAAGGTATGCATTCTTATTCTCTTGTACCACTTCCGTAACCGGTTAACGATTGCTTGAACTAGTTTACACTGTTATCATCGTTGTTATTGTTTTCGATTTCTTCAGAAATGTTATCATTGAAAAATCAGCATCCTGAGCGTTTCATTGCTAAAACCATGAAGCTGAAAGCAATTAATTATCCCACTTCTACAGCTTCTGATAAGCCTCTTTTCATTGAAGACACATTAGCAGATATATTGGGAATCGATCTGGCATCCTCATTGAGAAGGACTTTCAATATCGACAAACTCAGATTAATTTTTTCTACTGACCTAATGCTTAGATTATGCGTACAGGATAAGCTAGACGTATGCTTACCAGTTCACCTACTCCTGTAGAGTAAGGTATATGGGCTGCAATCAGCCTTGACTTTCCAAACGCATTTCCGAGCATATACAAACCTGCTTCCACGAAGTAAAAAAGAGAACAATTTGCAGCTCTTGTTTGGAACACTTGATCGATTATAACCACCCAGTAAATGCATTGTCATTTAGGAAGTTCGTTCGCGTCTCATGAAAGGTGTATGCCTAAAACTTCTTCAAACTGCGGAAGACATGACGATTAGACTTTTGAAGCCTGAACTCAGCGTTTAAAAAAAAATTTGTCCAGTCACTTGAGTTACAATGAACATGACCTATAAAAACATTTTTACTCTCAAAAACCTTTACATTCAGATCTTCTTACACATTACATTTCCTCACTACATAGTTTTGGTTTATCTTTACTTTTACCGGTCCCTTTCACTACATTATATCGTTTAACGTAGTAAACAAATATTACTTCGGTCTTGATAAGTCTTCTCCTCATTACTACTTCAGATGTTGCGTAATGCCTTTTTTGATCTCCTGACTTATAATCAAACCTAAACTTCGTTTAAAATATTTTGTGAAACATTTCTTTTTCTGTTACTATGTGGATAAAATATTTATATACGATTGTACAGCTTGAGAATGACATCGCTGAATAAAGTGACTCTTCTCTAAACGTCTTTTGTTTTATGACTTAATGGGGATTTCTAAACAACGAGAATAAATAACTTAGCACTATTATGGTTGTCGCTGCTCAACATTTAATCGTGTCAATGTGTTAAAATACATTAGACAGGAAAAAACTGGAGTGTCAGCTTATGATAAATTTAATTGAATTTAAATAAAAATCAATTTGCCTCACAAAAAAAGAAACGTAAAAGCTAGTTAGGTTTGTCAGAGAAAAGTACATAAAATATTGTGTAATGAATTCACCCTGATATTATATTCTACATAAGTATCATATGAAATCAGTATCTGAAAAAAACATTTCAGAATACAGAAATTTGACTCAGTTATAGGAAGAACCAGCCAAGAACTATGCTTATTTAATGACTGGATCTCTTGTTACAGAAGCGATAGAAGACAACTCGACTAGCGACTGAGTGTCAACACAATGACATACAGAACTTCAAAATGCATTGGAATGTTGCACAAAGGTAGACTGGTCCAAGTTGTTAACGTTTTCAGCAGCAGAAAAAGTAGAAAAAGGGTTGGAATCAAAAAGGCAATGAAAAGTTGATGATCATTATTATGTTCAGAATTTTAAAGATGATAAAGATTGAACACATGTGGATCATGTGATCAATTTCGACCTGTCATCAAAGCTCTTGAACTATTGATAATTGAAATTTACAAAGTCCCGGTTAGTTTACATGGTAATGATCACATATATATATTGGTGATCGAAGTCCCGTAGATTTTAGAATAGGCTATCTGACGCCATGTTGAGATGTGATGCATTATATTTTAAGCGGTTACTACGACAATAGGCTGGCTACCAACATTTTTATAAAGACTGCTAACTACTATCACTCAGTGCTCAAATATCTGTTTTATGTGCTGAAAAATGCGTAGTCAAATGTCAGAGGGAGCATGAAACTAGCTTCGATAAAGTTCTTTGTTTTGTAGTTGTCAGGACCCTCATCATTAAGAAGTTATATGACTTTTTTATGACTAGCATTGGAGTCTGACATACTCAACTACTACTCCTAACTATGTCTGGTCTTTATGACGAATAACGTCTCGTTTATTATGAAGACATAGGATAAATACTTCTTTAGAAACCAGAGGGTGACCTATTCGGCTAATGATCCCGAAATCAAATATCTGGTTCATCACGATATAATGATTGTTAGGTCTCGTTATAGTATGGCGTTAGTATGATTCGATGCACCCATATCTCAGTAAACTAATCAATTTGACCCAGTGAAGCAACAATCAGGAAATTTATAAAAGCATACAGAAAGAGCTCGAAGAAGGCGATATAACTCACAAATAATCTGCTTTTCACTGAAGAATTTTTTTCATGATAAGATTGTGGACTATCAGTTACATTTTCTACTTCCCCACTAGCCTTACCATTATATAGCGGGGTTTTATCAGTGACTTCTGAATGATCAGTAGAATCTCCAGATGCAGTCAAGTTTTTCAGTGTAGAACATTGACATGCCTTGCTTGTTTTTCTTAACTGAATTACTGAATTCCTGCCGAAAGACTGAATAAAACGTAGAAGTAATTAAAAGATAGTTATATCACTTGTATTATCTATATAACATTGGAATCTATACAAAAATGCCAGTGAACAACTCAACTGCCAAATGGTACGAAATGCGGTGCATTGTGACTTACTTCCCATTTGTGTCGATAAAAATGATAAAATGACTGCAGCCTGACACTAAACAATCCAAGACCGCAATCTCATGCTATACGGCTTATTAGGTACTATCAGATTCTCTGTACGATGAAATCCAATCAACAACATCTAATACTTTTTTTTATGAAAACTAACTGATACAAATTATCCGATACTGTGATGAAATATTTAACGTTTAAAACATTTCATTGGCAATTTATGATGCATATTAAAAGGCTGTTTATCAAAAAGTTATAATCACCTAAAGAAAATGAAAAGATTCCAATCTTATTATCTGTAACCTTAACACAGAACATGCTTTTAAGCTTTCAGATTAGATATGTATCTTCTTGGGGAAAATAGGTCATCCTGCAGTAAGAATTCTGTGTAATAATATTTGCGCCATTTCGATATAAATCAAACACAATTCATTTTGTAAATCATTTACAACCCAGTTAGTTGCTGATTTACCAACCATGGTTGAATACAGTTTACTGTAACAAAACAAGCAGAAAAAAGATGAGTATGATAAGATAATGCGAGATCATTTTTATGATTTCAATGATTATTCCCAACTCCTTGCAATCTAGATAATAATATCAAAATGCGTATATATATATATATATATATATATATATATATATATATATATATATATATATATATATATAAGTAGGTGGCCTGCGTAAACCTTAAGCTACCAAAAACCTTTTTCTACTGAATATATGTCATCGATTTCTTCTCTTTCTGTTTGTTTTAATCTTTAAATATCTTCTTAACATACCATGTACCCTTGCAATTCTTTAAAAAGTTTTCAAACAAAGAAGAAACGTTACACCGGATGGAAATGGATATATAAATGATTAAAAATATAGCAAAGTAATATTTCTGGGATACCTATGTCGGATTGTAAATTTTTGTACTAGGTGACTGAACTACTACCACCATAGTTACACTCGATTTTGTGTTTATCTCAAAGTCCATACCAGAAGTAAGTGCAACAGCAGCTGCGTGTTTTTTTAAATTAGTGCGTTTAATACCGTTATTATTAACACTATTTCTTTTAAAAATATTGGACTACGAGCATATTTGTTCAAATATTGCCTGCTGTAAACTTCATACGTTGTTTGAAATCAAGCGACTATTACCATTATCATTACTTAATCTTTAGCAAATATTTGCTATGTTTCCTTTGCGTTATGTTCTCATATTTAGCTTGATAAAAGTTTTATATCATCCAAAACGAATAAAGCATACTTCGTAAATTGCATAGCACAAGTAGTTAACAGAGATATAGATAAAACACTGCAATCTGCGTACACAACACTCCATAGTCTGTTATTTTTTTGAAATCATGCTTCCATTCAAATCTGTCTCAAGAAACATATTTATGTTGAATGATCATCAGTAATGAAAACAGCAGATGGAAAGTAGTAAGAAATCAGAATTTTTGTTTAACACTTACCAAAAACTAGATTTCCCATACATTTGGTTCTCTTCGAAAATTTTAGGAAAGCTAGAAAAACAAGTTTAGTAATTTTAGTAATCAAATTATTTTATTTAAACTTCCCTAATGCGTAACAATCCTTTCATTATGTCGTCAATGGACTATCATTTTCTTGATAAGTTCATTATGCGGATATTATTTTTCTTTGTATATATCTTATGAACTTATAGCCTGTATGCAGTTGAAGAGAAAGCGACGAAATACAATGAATCCATCGCATTCTCCTAAACTTTTTGTTCTAGCTTTGCTAAAAAACAGTAGATTACTCATTGGCATATTGTGGATAAGCAGCACGAATTACTGAGTAAATAGTGATATGAATGATCGTAAGTTTAAACGTTGGCACAAATTGCGGTGTCCTTCCATGCACTTGGGCTTCACCAATTCAACATATATTTCGAATGTTCAAGGTCAGTAAGCACAAGTGAATACATTTTATCATAATAAGATAACATGCTGTCATCAATCTATTTCAAACATTTATTAAATTTCAATATGAACACTTCTTGTCAAACACCGGTCTATTCTTCGCTTCAAAATTTTATACACCAGACAAAACATATCGATAAACAGTTGAAAGAGATCAAGCCGAAAAGAGAAAAGAAATTTTGTCAGTGTCTTCTGAGAAAAGAACTTGATGAATCCATTTACTTTCACACACACGACAAAAATTGATGAATACAACCGATCATTGATTACATATCAACATGTGGTATTGATAAAAGTGTATTAAAAATAATTGACTTCTAGACAAACAAAATATAACTCAGGCTACGGTTTTGCGTAAACGAGATGGCTACACACCCTGGAGATGCCAGATTACCAAACTTTGAAGAAGGAAAAGCCTTTCCAGTATTCAGGAAGTATGCACCTTCGAAAGCTGTTTGTTTATACTTGATTAGACGTGATATATGGAGTAATCTACTTGAAGTTTATGAAAGAAAAAAATAAACAGGAGAAGAAGCGTCAGAATTACCCGAATGTGGTGCAGCCCCCTTACCAAGCCTCATCATCATGGAATAAGTGAGGGAATAATACATGTGAACCCATTGCTCATTCCAATAGGATCCTACGTATTCGCAGAAGTTTCAGCCAAGTACCGATATGTTAACACAGATTTAGACTCATCCCATTGCGAAATGAATGAAGTCGTTTTTCATAGATGCAAACAGATTTTACCACTAAAAAACTATTTTGCAGACCGAGAAGAAAATCTAAGAAATCTTCCACATGACCTTGATACACATTCTATACGCATAAGAGAATTATATAATAAATCAGGAGGTCCTGTTAGCGATGCGGCAATGCGTGATGAGAATTTATATACTTCTGGAACTGATAACAATACACACGCTAGAAACACTTTTATCCCACAAACACAAGCAACAAAGTTTCTGGATATTCAGATTACCCCTATGCAACTTTCACATTCCCGTTTCGCTTCGACATTAATGGTAGTCGGGATTCTGTATACATAAAAAACTTCCGCAACTAATTATTGATGGAGAAGAACTTCCACCTACTAGGATGAAATTGTTTTATCAAGCAATATTTGGATTCACATACCATGAGTCAGATACAGACCCTGATACGCCAAGTGAGCTATCTGATTCCAATGAAGACAATAAGCTAAAAATCAGACATCCTGGTGAAGCAATAAAAAGCACAAAGTAAAAACAAAAGACAATGGAAACAGGATTTATTCCATCAAAATGATTACCCTTGGAAAACGAGACCTAAACGAGCACCGCGTGATGGAGTTACTTGGACCTTACGAGTATATATAACTGACACACCATCCATCAGGTACACCGAAGGGTGAGCACATAGCATCATTGAGATTCCGTAAATTATCCTATATACCTCAACTAGTCAGCATTGAACATACAGACCCGAACCGATAATTGCTTAGCAATTGGACGCAGAGCAGGGAAAGATGCAGGCGTAATAACTTTATTAACAAAATTGACAAAGTATTATACAACTATGGTGAACATGTACAATGTGATATTAAAATACATAATTCTTCCTTGAGATTGATTCACAGTGTAGTTGTTGAAATTCATCAGTGTTTGCGTACGAAACCATGTATTAACCGAATAGTGAGAACAGTTATTTGCAGCCAATCAATTACCGATGTCAGTTTACTTAGCGGTATGCCAGTGTTGCCAGGATCTGAAAATTCTTACATTCGAGTAACATTAAACCCTTTGCTGACATTTTACACTGTTCAAAAACTAATAAAAAGCCGTGAAGGTCTGATAAGATCGAGCAGTTTGGCTAACCCATCAGAATCATGGGCTTTCAGGTTACCAAAGACGCCAGGATATCAATATGCATTGGAAGCTCCTGGCAGATATGAACGCGTGCCACCACAATATATGAAGAGACGTACACTAGCTCCATCATCGTTCAGTGGAGTATATGACCATTTGCTTTCAAAAGGAGACGTAATAACTTTATTGAGGCCATTAGCTGGAGAGAAGGGGGCTAGCATTGTCCGGGAAAGGGATCCTCATGGCCACTGTCGTTGTACACATTATGCAAGAGAACCTAGAGAAATCAGTCACCCTCTTGAAGGACCGTATTCAGCGATTATCAACGCTAAAGATGCATTTCCAGAGTATGAAGAGCCTAATGGAGGGAAAGTCAAACAGAACTTACTTCAATCAATGTGTAGAAAGTGCGAAATTCCCATAAATGTCGCTGAATATCCAGTTCAGATTTCGTATGAAGTCGTAATACAGGCAAAACTTTTACCACAACACAGTGAAAATCCTTTATCATGTGAATCTGCTATCGAGGAAGCAGGACTAGGATCTGGATTACTTAATTGTCCTAATGGTGACATTTTAGGTCCGGATGGACCGAGAATTTTCATACCACTTATTTTAGGTTACAAAAATCCGTATCCAGAGGAGCGTGTACTGATAGCTAACTATCGTGTTGATTTAAGACAAGACTGTATAGAGCGACCAACAAGAGAACCAAATGCTCATGAATCTAGTCTTTGAAAGGGTTTCCTCCTCTCGAAAATTTATCCTACAGCTCCATGTAACACTGGAGCAACTAGTGGATAAAAAATTCTTACATTCTATTTAATACGGAAAAAGTAAGTTTCATTTTACTTGTATTCGATTCAAACTATTTCAGGCGAAATAAATTCGGAAGGTTTAAAAACAATGTTTACTGGTAGGATAAAAACAAATAAAGGAAATAAGTGATGAGTTCAAGGTAATAAAATACTGAATTGCAAGTGTATTCTAAGCTGAACTTCGTGAAAGAAAGTGATCATATGGAAAATTTGGATATTACTTTGCACACCATCGAGTAAAAAAGTGGTAGGAAAAAAATGAGAACTGTAAATAGCAATGCAACCAAGATCACACATTACCCAAGCTTTTATACAGATTTCACTAAGCTTATGGTCATCTTAATAGACTTGAGGATCCCAGTTTGACCTGACAGAAGTGAATTCCATTTTAGTTGATTTATTAGATATATCACACAGTGGAACAGTATTATATACTGGGTTACCTTGTGGGCACAGCTATTGTCCACAGTCAAATCAAGATAACTTCACAACTTTGAGACATGGCCGGTTTACGTAGTTCCGATTTTCTCGCCTCCTTTGTGATGTAGATGGTAGGATTTTCCATATATCAGGAGACAACAGGTGCTTAGTCATTCCTGTTGCTTGTATTTCGTGTTGATTCAATAAACAAAGATTCATTTATCAACCTTTCTTTCTTTTCAGTGGGTCAGTTATCAGAATCTTCACTGTTTCCCATCTTATTGAGTGGTTGTGTGTAATTCTGGGCTATGTTCGAGCTTTCCTCTAGATTCCTTAACATGCTTGGAGTTGACAAGTTTGATTTACCTCATGTCCTTTGTACTGGGATAGACTAACTGACCCTGGTCGAATACTTTTACACATATGATGTATTTGACCTCGTTATGTTTGTAAGTGATTTGGCAAAATGAATTATTCTGCCTAGTGGGATCAAAAGGATCTCTTAAACTAAACCACTTATTTCTAATTAACTTTGTGGGTTTAAATGCCACCCTAATCCCAGCCTTATTGAGAATCCTATGTAGTGTCTGTGAGGCATCCCTAGTATTATAAGATTGTAGACTTTTTGAATTCTGTATTTATTGTGTAGTGGGCGCTGCTGATCAGAATAGATATTAGTATACATTGAGAGAGCAGCAGAAATCATAGAGAATTACTAGCAACGGGTTAAGATTCTGCTCAGAGAAACGTAAGAGACAATGTGAATTTATTAAGAGCAAATCAAGACAGAATCAGAAGATGAAATGAAGCACATTATGCAAATGACTGTCTTACTGGAAGGTGTAGAATATTTGATGACTGCTGTACAAGATGCCACTAATAAACATTCCTTACTTTGTCCCCATCTTGTTGTTTCCTACAATAGTACTGTCATAATTTCTGTTATTACTATTATCGTATCTGTCACCATTATCAGTCATATTTTTCTAATGAATACCAAGGGGTTTATTCATTAAATTAGGAGGGTAAATATTGATGAGTAAGATGTCTTTAAAGTATCTGACTTCTTGTCTTAGTTTTTTCTGCATTACTTAGACGTTTTTTGACCCTTTTACGTAGATGGTTTAGTAAACTAACTTTAACTGACATAGGATAGGGACAGATGATTTGAAGTCTGAGTCTACAGAAAAGCTCGAACATAGCCCAGAATTACACACAACCACTCAATAAGATGGGAAACAGTGAAGATTCTGATAACTGACCCACTGAAAAGAAAGAAAGGTTGATAAATGAATCTTTGTTTATTGAATCAACACGAAATACAAGCAACAGGAATGACTAAGCACCTGTTGTCTCCTGATATATGGAAAATCCTACCATCTACATCACAAAGGAGGCGAGAAAATCGGAACTACGTAAACCGGCCATGTCTCAAAGTTGTGAAGTTATCTTGATTTGACTGTGGACAAGAGCTGTGCCCACAAGGTAACCCAGTATATAATACTGTTCCACTGTGTGATATATCTAATAAATCAACTAAAATGGAATTACTTTGAGCCACAGTGTTCCAGTTTTACTTTCATATTACTGACAGTTTTGAAAATGTTGAGCATTGAATAATTGGATTATAAATGAAATGTATTCATAAAATTCCAAATACATTTCATTTATAACTTAAGAATCTCGAAATAAATACAGGGTGGTAATATATACATAAAGAAAAACGGTGAAAGTGGTACAGGATTGATTTATAAGCAAATTACATTCGTTACGCTTAAGAATTTAAAAATGAATACTCTATGCAGAGAACACTTGTATCCTCTTTCCACTTCCGTCCAACTTCAGCCTCCTTTTCATCTTCTAGCTTTTTCTATATTTGTAGAAATTCTCCTTCGTTTCTTTTTCTAGTTGATTATCGGCTATTGTCATTTTCGTCGAAGACGCTACAACACTGACTACTTAAATGAGTTGCTATCAATAGGATGTGACCTAATTATACCATTCAAAGCAGTTTATACCTTTTATTTTCTATGGTATCTAACCTTGAAAAAAAATCCCATTTTAATTCCAACCAAAAAATAAGAGAACTTTACCAGACTTAAACATGTAGTGGTATTTGTGCAGTATGCACCGAACATCCTAATTAGATATGTATGTGTCATAGCCATTTGGATGAGGTCCGGTTAGCGCAACAGACAGAAGTTGGAAATACGGACCATTGGATTCCGATCCAGTGACTCAATGGTGACTTGCTGGGCATGGAACATGATAGTCCTTGGTTCGATCCCTGGCGGGGTCATGGGTGTTCAATACTAGGAGTCCCATACTAGGACGAAACAGCTCTCGAGTACTCCTAGGTTTCTAATGTTTCTCCTAATGATGTCAGTCCATGATGCTGTTGCCTTTTGAAATATTACAAAGAATACTAGTAGGAAAAACATGCCAAAGAAATCAGGAACAGGTACATAAATCTTTTTAAGAAAATACAGTGGGTTGATGTGAACCGATCTGATAAACTTTAAACCATCATACTTTAAGTTACGAACTCCAGATTCTTCGTATTTTTAAAATTGTCTTCTGGATACCTGATATTCTTCATAGAACTCAAAACCTCAGTTTAAAAATTCATGAATCAGTGATAACATTTCTTAGCCGCAACATCATAAGCGTATTTTAATTCAGTCATAATAGGAATGATAACACATACTGAGGTGGGCAGTAGCTAAGTAAGCATAACGAAACCTCTATCGATGAATGTTACTAAACTCACTAACTAACTAACTTAATCTCACCTAAAAACAAAAGTTAACAACAAAACTACTTTCTAAGTAAGTGGCTTTTTACTGATAGCAAGAATTACTTCGGATCATTTATGACCAAATACTTCACACCCTTCACCTTCAATGGTGACTTTTAAAAGTAGTATTTAGTTATTGATTTACCTTTAATGAAATGGTATACTGAGAAACTAAAATAATCAGTGTTCTGCTGAAACAAATATTCGTAAATGACCACGGTATTATTGGAGTACAATAAGTACATTCTGTGTCAATTTTTTCGGCCATTTTGTACTCTAGATGACTCATCCTATAAAGAAAAAACCTGAA